ATGGATGGATGGTGGATGGATGGATGGATGGATGGAGAATGGATGGATGGTGGATGGATGGATGGATGGATGGAGAATGGATGGATGGTGGATGGATGGATGGGTGGATGGGTGGATAGATGGATGATGGATGGATGGATGGATGGATGGAGGATGGATGGATGGATGGATGGATGGAGGATGGATGGATGGATGGTGGATGGATGGATGAATGGATGATGGATGGATGGAAGGAAGGAAGGATTTACAGATGGACGGATGGATGCATGATGGCTCGCTTAGGCCTCCATATGTGCTACTTACCAAAGGGTTGACTGGGATTCGTGGTCAAGACCTCCTCACTAGCTCCCTCCCTTGAGCTCTGGGCCTGGCAGGGTAGGAGGGAGAAGCAAGAAGGGAATTGACTCATCACTACTGAGTCAATAATGAGCTGCGCTAATGAGCTGGGACTGAGAAGGGAGACGGAACTGCGGGGTGGAGAGCGAGACTGGAGACTTCTCCAGCCACCACTGTTTAGAAGCTGCCGTGGCAGATTGGGAATGAACTGGTTTCATTACTGCATAATGAACCCGGATAATAGAAGGAAGGGCTGGCGGGCTGGCAAAAGGAGAGGAGAGCCTTCCCCGCTCTCCTTTGTCAGGCAAGAGCCAGGGAGCTATGGGGACCAGAGAAAGGTGTGTCTGGCTCGGATCAGGAGAAGCATCCAGATGTTCCGGAGAGAACAGCGAATTGAACCTTCCAGCAGAGCCAGCCCCCTCCTCCGACTGCAGCTGTCCTCTCAGTCCCTGTGGGCAGGCAGCATCCTGTGATCGTGGGAATCCTTGCCGACTGCAGACCCCAGAGCCTGTGCTCCGAGCGCCACTGCCAGGCACAGCGTGGGGGGAGCCCTAGCAGCCCGCTGCGGAGGCAACGTAACCTCCCTCAGCCTCGGGATGTTGAGGGGAGCATCCAGAGCCCTAAGCCTCTACCTTTTAGGATTTCCAGCTTTGACAAATAAAAAATAAGGATATCTAGTAGCATGCAGATTTCAGAAGAACTTATGGGGCATATCCCAACAATCACATAAGATGTGCCCCAAATCATTCACTATTTGTCTGAAAGCTGAATTTAACTCGGTGTCCTATATCTGGCAATCCTATGACACCCACCCCGCCACCCACCCTCACCTGTCCCCTGCCACCCCAGGGAGTGGTTCTAGACACTGAAGCTCAGATCCATGGCTCCTTGCAGAGAAGCAGGGATGAGAGGTGTGGCTCCGGGAGAGTGGCAATGACAGAGGTTCCACAGATGGCAGGACAAACTCCCCCAAGACCCATGGCTTTTATCAACCCCTTTGTGAAGTACAGAGGCCTGTGGGATCTGGCACGGGCTCTGCAGGCGTGACCTGTCTCTGCTCCTGACCAGGGCTCGGCGGGGGACAGCGCTGCCCGGGACACTGCTGGAGGCTGCGCCACCCGGAGCTGGTCCTCCCTGGTCACGATGCTGCAGAGGGGCAGGGGCCTCAGCTGGGTCCTCCGGGGCCTCTGCCAGGACTGGGCTTCCTCACACCCTGGCCCTGAGCCCCTTACACGGTAGCTCGGGGGTCTGACATGAGTATCCCCAGAGACCCGGGCAGAAGCGTCTGCTCTCCTGACCTGGTGGTACTGCTGCCGCGACGCCCGAGGAGGACCGTCACCATGTGCCCGGGCTTGAGAGAACAGAGCTACCTTCTCATGGCAGGAGAGTCGAGGAAGGAGCGGGGAGCTGAGGGGAGAGGTCGGTGCAGACACGCAGGGAGCTCTGGGGGCCATGGGGAGGTGGGACGTTCTCATGCAGCGACAGTGACGGGGCTCCAGGGGAGGGTGGTAGGGGACTGGGGTCGCTGGAGAGGCTGGGTGGCTCCGGGAATCAGGAGACCTGGGCGCGAGGAGGGGGACACTGGTTGAGGTCAGGGGGACGGCAGGGCCGGGGCCAGGGGGAGGGACGGCAGGTTTACACTGCTCATCACCAAGAAAACAAAGCCTGCCACCGACACTGCACGCGCTGACACCATCTGCCGGGCTCCTGCCCCCCAGGCCCTCTCCACCTCTCCACTCCCGCCACCTGCACACGTGGTGGCCCCGCGTCCCCCGTCCACTGGAGAACAGAAACCTCTGCCGGCGGCCAGGCCCTCCTCCCCACGTCTCAGACAGGCGGTCCGGCTGGGGCTGCGGCTGCGTCTGCAAACCTCTGGCGGCCTCCCTTTGGGGCCTGGGGAGTCGGCGATACTTGCGCTGACTCATGGGTGGCAGTTTGGTCAAAACAGGGGAGGGGAGGGGCCATCGGGCAGCTCCACACAGCTCCTTGCACCCCATCCCTCTTCACCCCCCAGCACTGCCGTGACAAGGAACGAGTGACCTTAACCTCAGGCCTCTTTGCTGGGAAACCTGGATGCTCACGCAGCGCCCCCACCCGCCCCTGCCCCCAGGGGCCCGCGGTTACGTGTGGCGGTGGGAGCTGGCACCACGTGGAGCCCCTGCCTTTGAAAACCTGAGTTAATTGGATTTCACAGCATCTTCTCGTGCCTGCCCGTCCTTATTAAATGGCAGAGAGAAGAGAAGGGAGGAGCCGATCATCACCCAGGCAAGGGGAAGATTAGGACAGTGGCCTTGGTGGAAAGTAATCAATGCTTAGCCTCCCCCAGCTGGCCTCGCCCCATCAGCGCCCCTAGAAATTGGGGTGAATGCAGAAAGGGGAGCTACCCTCATGACGTCTTACACAACTGGCCACAGTAGCCGCGTGCCCACGTAATCATGCAGGAGTGTATATAAGTGTATGCATGTACACATGCATATTTGTGCATGTGTTCATTCTGTATGCATGTGTGTACCTGTGTGCACGTGTGGTGTGTGCATATGTGCACGTATGTGCTGTTGTGTGCATGTGTGTACATGTGGTCGGCAAGCATTATGAGTGTGTGCCTGTGTGGTGTGTGTGTGTGTGTGTGTGTGTGTGGTGGGCAAGTATGTGTATGTGGTACTCTATTTGTTCATTTTGTGTGTGCACATGTGGGTGCACTGTGTGCTGTGTGCATGCATGTGTGTGTGTGTTCTGTGCATGTGTACAAGCGAGCATCCCACACAGTCCCCCCAGCTGGCCAGGGGCCTGCCCAAACGATCCTCTGCAGAGCTGCTGTCTTGCTCCTGGTAGGGTGGAGAATTGCCCCTGGGACCATGAGTTCCCTGGGGCTTTGGCTGCCTGCAGATCTGAGATGAGAGGGTGGGGAGCCTTTAGGGGACTACTCCCTCCCCTGCTGTCCTAGGCTCATCATTTAAAGAAAAGCAAGAGGGGCTTATTCAAGACATTGCTGGTGAGGAGCGTCTCTGCTCTGGGGCTCAGCCACTCCCTTGCCAGCACTTCTCGGAGGGCAGACTGGCCTCCCCACACCCTGGACTCCAGGTTTGCCCTGGCCGTGGCATTGGCCAGCGAGATACGAACATACAGATACAAAGGTTTACAGCGAGCTGGCATCCCCGACTCCGCCCTCCTAGACGGCGCTGCCGCCAGAAAGAACACACCCTGGCGGCCTCTAGTCTCAGGAGGGTGATATTGGTGGAGCAGAGCTGACGCCAGGTTCTGCCTGAAGTGGGCACATCAGTGCCCAGCCTAGCTCTGCTGCACCAGGGCCAGCCACACCCCCACCGACCCCTCCACCCTGCGGAGAATAACTGTGCGCCAGTACAGAGGGCCCTCGGGGTTCCCCCTGAGACTCCCAAACGACCGCACCCAGCTGCAGAAACACAGCCTAGATGTACTGGAAACTACGTGAAAAAAAATCAAAGCGTAAATATTTAAAAGGCTCTCAAAGCCTAAAAGGAAAGTTATGAAGAAAAAAGACCCATGGATTTAACGACGGAGCTATTACACGTCTCTGGACAGCGGCGCATTATGAGCATATTGAAAATGCAGCAGAGTGTCTGCTAAAATTCAATTTAATTTTTGTCCCACTTTTTTAAAACACTGAGGCGAACACCCCCTGGGGGGGCAGTGAGAGGGCATTTAGGGCAGAGCCCTTGGCAGGGGGGGCGGGCATTTTAGGCAGCCATCTGCATGGGGGGGGGGTGGCAGCTGAAACAGGTTCTGGGTGAACCTGAAACAGGAGCTGAAACAGGAGCAGGGGGTGGAGAGGAGGGAGGAAGAGGCGTGCAAAGTAAGGAATGTGAGTTCACCTTGACACGGGAGGGGTGGGGTGGGGTGGGGGGTGTTCAGACCCAGCCCAGACCTGGGTCAGGACGTCATACGTGCATCCGGGAGCTGATGGCACAGACCCATTTCCAGCACTCTGGGTGGGGCCTGCAAGGTGGGGAAGGCCCCCTGAGTGAGGAGGACCCCTTGCCTCTTGTCTCAGGGGGGTCCAGGCAGCGTGTCCAGGGGGGCTGCAGGCTGGGGCTCCATCTACAAAAGTTGACCCGTGTCCCTGGCCCCAGCTGAGCCCCCTAGACACCACCATGCCCCAGGGACTGACCGAGGAAGGTCAGCATGGGAACTTCCAGACTAGTCTGGGCCCCCACACAGCGCCTTGAGCCAGGTGGGGTGGGGGGCGGACAGGGAGACAGAGAGACGCAGGTACCTTATTTCAACAGAAACCAAATAGTGATCTTGAAGATGCTCAAATCATTCAAGAAAACTGGGACTAGTAAAAAGGTCACAAAGCAAAGGTCATTTAAAAGATGGAGAGAAATAGGGCCTCCCTGGTGGTACTGGGGTTAAAGTCTCGGCACTATCAAGCTATTGGCAGCCACTGCAGCCTGAGTTCAATCCCCGGCCAGGGAGGTGACCCACATGGTGCAGCAGACCTCTCCTGTCTCCCCTGCTGCTCCCCTCAGCAGTGTATTTCAGTAGATCCACCTGTTCTGCTCCCCACTCTGTCTCTGGTGAATCTTCTCACCCCCTACACCTCCACCTACACCCCAGGTCTTATATGCATAAAAAAATAAATCTTAAAAAAAATGGAGAGAAATAAACGTTTGCTTGTGACTTTATATTTAAAAAGGGGGGGCCATCTTGAAAGTTTGCTTTAGCAAACATTTACTAAAAGTAGGCTGTGAGTACAACTCTTTTTTTAATTCTTTGAGTGACCAAAGACGAACTCCAGTGTTGATTTGGGGGCGTCATTGTTCTGACGAGATAGTCTGATAGTGAGATTCACCGCCCTGGATGTCACATCTGACTTTCCCTGCACAACCATAAAAAGGACAATTGTTTGCAAAAAATATATTTTAAGGCATCATCAATTTTCCCAATGGCCTGTCTTAATCCTCTAAAATTCGAATCTCTCTCTTTTGAAGTGCCTGTCATTTCATCAACCTTGTAGATTCTGTCTTCTGTAATTGTTAGCTGGCTGAACTCAGCTACATTCTCATTTGCCAGTGGCCTCGCGTGGCATTCAAATAATTCTCCATAATCACTTTGATCAACCTCAGGAAATTTTGCATCTTTGGCAAAATTTGAAATCGTTTTGCAGTCTTCTCATGAATGTTTGTAACATGTGGTTCACAGGAACAGTCCAGCCCACAAGTCCAACGAGGAGGGTGGAAGAGTAGGCTGGTGTTTAGTATGAGGGATGCAGGAGGAGCAGCAGCCACGTTTGTGAGAGGTCAGTTTATAAGAGGTCAGTCCACGCGTGGTTATTTCTGTGTTAAGAAAAAGCCTGTTTTCCTGTGCAGCCTCTAACTTCAGGCACTCAGATCATGAGACTGTGGAAAACAAGGACCCCCTGACATAATCAAGGGCCATTCACTATAATATGTAAAGAGTCCATGCAAAGCAATGAGGTAAAAAATGGGCAGAGACCAAAACCTATTATGAAAAACAAGAAGAAAAGGCAAGAGGCTAATAACCATAGGGAAAAAGTATTCCGCTTCACTGTAAACAAAGAAGTGCAGAAGAAAGCAATATTTCGCCATCAAATGAACGTTTTTTAAATTATAATTCTCGGCGCTGTGAAGGTTATGAAGAACCAGCCCCTCCTTATACGCTGCTGGTGGAGTGTAAATTGGTACAGTCTTTCCAGAAAGCAAATGCAAAGCTATATCCAGCCTTACAATTATTTCAGCTGCATCATAATTTTTTTTATCAAGTCCCATGTTGCCTGTTCATCTCCTCACATCATTCTTACAACGAACAAAGACTAAATCAAATGTTGATTTTGAGGGCGTAATTTTTCTAGGGGAAAAAAATCGTCTGGTGGCACAAAACAATATCCTTCACTTTGAGTGAAGTTAATTGCTTTTCCAGCTCTCTCTAAAGTTTGATCTCTCACTTGGAGGCCACTTTGCACAGGAAATAAAGACTTTCCCTCCACGTCCCTGTTGGCAGGGGCAAGAAACCCAATGGTGTCGCATCAAAGAAACAACGTGGAGTAAAAGGCAGCTCCTGCTCAGCCACGCGCTCCCAGCTCACCTGCCTTAGTTTCCCTCATCAGCACCGTCGAACTACATAGGTTACAGGCAGCGAGAAGCTAGGATGTTAAGCCCTTAGTGCTAATGCTAAGCTCCACCAATATGCCAGCTGTGATTTTCTCTGGCTGATGGGGTTAAGGAGTTTTAAAATGTTCTTCAAACTTTCTATGGGTTTATAAACTCTAGAATGAGCAAGCATCACATTTTTAATCACAAAAGGAACTTTTTTTTTTAGAAAAGACAAAAGTGGGACTGGCATGAACAAAGTCCAGAAATAGAACTGGGGAGGGGAGATGCAGAGAAAATGTCAAGACAATTCAGAGGCAGAAGCTTCAGTAGCAGGTGGGTTTCATCTGCATTGAAAGAGCATTCGTCTCTGTAGACAGTAAGGAGTCAGGCAGCCTGAACAACAGGCAATGCCTGGGAGGGTGCAGCGGGGAATTAGAGAAGTCAGTGAGCGTCTGGATCAATCTTCATCTGAAGTATACCCAGCCTCTGGATTTCCCAGGCACCTGCAACAACTAAGTCATTTTGTTTTTTAAGCTACTCTGAGTCAGTTTTCCATTGTGGCCCAGAAAGTATTCCGACTGGTAGAAACAGGACTTGGAAAGAACAGGACTTGGAATCAGATGTTGAGGTGAACTGGCCACTTTCTAGCTCAGTTAAAATTCTCTGAGCCTTTGTGTCCGACAGATGGAATGGGCTACTTTCGTGCTCTGTCACCACCATAAAGATAAGCATTTGGGGTTCTTAGATGAGCATAAGATTTGAATTTTGCAAATTTCACATGCAGGCACAAGAGCGGTGTGTGGGACCCCAGAATGAAATCACCAGTGAGGGTCAGGTCTGCAGGGACGTACGGCCAGTGGAGGGGCCATCACAGGAGTACCCCCACACTTCGGTGTGCATAGGAATGCTAAAGTTGTTCAAACGCAGACTGACTCAACAAGCCTGGGCTGGGGCACAGACCCTGCATTGCCAGTAGGCACTGCCAATAGTCGACCTGACTTGCGCAGCAGGAAGCTCAAGGCAGGTCGAGGAGCACACCACCTCCTGCAGCTCCTTTCATGTTTAAGATGGTCAGAATGTTTATTGCTGTGCTATTTACAAGAGCCAAGAGCTGTAAATAACCTAAGTGCCCACTGACAGACAAATGGATAGAGGAAGTGTGGCATACATACACAGTGGAATATTACCCAGCTATAAAAAAGATGAAGCCCAGCCATTTGCAACAGCATACAGGGAGGTAGGGGGGAGATGCTAAGTGAAATATCTCAGATGGAGAAAGACAAATACCCTGTGATTCCACTTATGCATGATGTGTAGAGAAGACAAACAAAAGGATGAACTAAATAAAACAAAAATGAACTTTTAGACTATAAACCAATTAGTGGTTACTTACCAGGACAGAAAGGTGGTGGTAGATTGCACCAAAGGGGCCAACTGGATGGTGAATTGGATTTTTAGTGATGAACTCCTGTAGTATATAGAGATGTTGATTTGAATGATGCACAGTTGAAACGTTTATATTATAATGCAACGTACTCCACTAGAGTAAGAGGAAGAGGATGGAGGTGGTGGTTGTCAAGAGGCAAGGGTCACGTTTACGAACTCAGGCTGCAGAGTCATCCCCCTGCCAGCGGTGTGACCTTGGCAAATTACTCCTCCAACCTTGGGCTCCTCCCATGTAAAAGTGGCATCACAACAGTACCTGCCTGCTAGGGGTGTTATAAGAACATAAAATATGCAAAGAACTCAGCGCAGCGCCTGCACGTCGCACGCACTCAACAAATGAGAGCCATTTTTCTTCTTAAAACCCAGCAAAAAGCCCGTGTGGTCTCAGCTTTGAGTAATGTTACAAGTCAGCACCACTTTGTTAGCCAAAAATAAATAAAATGCAATTACCATCTCTATTGGAACCTCTCAGAGTACATCAAAGGTGATTCCATGCATTACCCGTAGCCAGACTCCTGAAACCCAGTTCTGATTCCCACAGTCCTCGCGCTCCAGGCTTTTCCCAGCAGCTCACTCTGGCCTGGCGATTTCTGTCCTCCACCCCGCTCTTCGCTCCTCCTGCTCCCCTCCAGCTTAGGCTGTTTGGCTCTACTGGGTGGGCAGGGGTGTAGTGTGTCTTGTGTCTCTGCCCACTCCTCAGTCTGTGCAGCCTGGAGGTCCCCGGAGCTGTCTGAGGGTGTTGGTTGGGTCTCCTTGGGTCGAAGGTGGACAATGTGAACCAGCATCGACCCATTCAAAAAGGCAACGTTCACACTCAGACTTGTATGGTCATCAGGGCTGCTGTTGTGCACATCTGGACTCGGGGCCCAGCTCCCCCTCCTCCTGCCTCTGTCTCCCCTTGGACTGGCATCATTTTCTGTTCCACAGGAGCTCCAGCTTACAAATTCATAACCCCAAACTCAGAGTCTAGTAAAGGCTCAGATGTAGAGCCCAGAATTGAGACTCCTCAGCTCCAATGGCCTCTCTGGGATGTGTCCAGTCTGGAACCACTCCCAGCTGCCAAGGGGTGGAAGCTGCTGACTGGCTTAGCTGAGGTCATATGCTCCATTGGGGGTGGGGCCAACTTCTGCAGAAGTAAATAAGCAGGGAGAGGGGAAGGGGTGAACCCCACATAGGAATTGGGGTGCTGTTATCACAAAATGAAGACAAGGAGAACAAAGACTCTGTGTGTCAACAAAGTGCCCTCTGCAATTATGATTGCCTTCAGGGAAAAAATACAATTTTTCTCCCACAGATACTTCAGAGTATTGGGGGGTACAGGCCCTAAGGAGGGGCGACCTGCTTGGACACTCCCAGGGTAGGTGAATGGTAAGCCAGGCCTTAGCAAGGCTAAGATAAAAGGTGGAGGAGGCTAAAATGAAGCAGCGGTGAGGACCCTTGGAGGAGGCAGGTCACCCGTGTTTCCTCCTGTGGACTGTAATTCCATCTGCTCTGGAACCTTCGGGTTGGGGTGGGGGCTGGACCCATGGGTGACTGAGGGGGACACACGGTAGCGTGTTGTTACACCTTTAACAACCGGCTCTCTGGAAGGGTTTGCTGATTTCCGAGGTGTACATCATATGCTCCCACTGTGGCCGATGTAAAACTACCAGGTTCCCAAAATCCCCGTTCCGTGACAACAGCGCCGGTGTGAGCCAGCAGCCGCCTGCCTGGGAAGGGCTCGTGCAGCACTTCAGGCAAACTGTAGGGGGAGGTAGCGGACAGCAGCCTGGGGGAGCAGGGAGAAGACCAAGGGCAGAAAACAGCCACCCAGCTCCGACAGGAGCTGGAAACGTTTCTCAGGCGCTCCCGGCAACTGTGGGTGCTAAGCCCATAAGAGATTAGGAGTCTGACGTCAGATGGACATCGGGACTGGTGCCAAATGCCGACCCTGTGTCCAGAAGTTACTGGAAAGGGACCGTGACCCTTGGGTCCCCCAGTCCATGTTCACTCCCTGAATCAGATGACCAGAAAGTCCAGAAGTGCGACCACTGGGGTCACTTCCCTTCCCCAAGTCCCTTAACTGGAAACAGACTGACGGAGCGGTGAGACCTGGGGTGCAAAGCTATGCAACGACTACACGCGCCCTCCATCAGGAGCGTGCGAGCAACGGAGCGTGGCTTCACGTCCCTACGTCAGAGTCAGCCAAATCCCAGGTCTGCCTCCCACAAGGGTGTCTAGAAGCTCCGTCTCGCTCAGGGCTGCTCCCTCCCAACCAGGGTCCTCGAGGAAAAATTGGGTCCTTGACACTCCCCAGCCGCTGTGCCAGGCTCAGGCTTAGGCTCTGCTGAGGGGACATCCTGGGGCCAGATGCCCCTCCCCAATACCCCAACCCCCCAGGGGCCTCGAGGGGTAGAACTCACGGAGCCCAGCCCCAGCTTCCTACTCGGAGAATCTTCCTTTTGCTCTCTGTCCTTGCAAAACTTCAGCTGCTCTCTTTCATACCAGGCCGCGGGCACCGTCGCCTTAGTGAGCCAAAGCTTTCCCGGGGAGCAGGGAGAGAGGGGGGTCCTCACAGCTTCTGCTTCCAGCCCACAGTGCCCCAAGGCAAGCCAGCGGAAAGACTTCCCCTGGAATGGGCGTAGAAAGTAGAGGCCAAACCAAACCATTCTAGACAGTCTGGTTATTCTACTGCAGTGAGAACAACACACCACATTAATATCGCAATACGTTATCCTGCCACGTCGCTGGGAAAAGAAAGGAGGCGGGGTGGGGAGGCGAAGTGGAGCCCCAGCTACAGAGCGGGGCAGCCCGCGGCTGCAGCAGCGCTCCCCCGGGTCGTGATGGCCCTGAGAGGTCGTTGGCCTTGGAGAGGCGGTTCACAGAGGAGGGCGCTGCAGCTTCCTGGCGGTGGGTGCCGCCCTCTGAGGCCCAAGCCCAGTGAGGGCTCACGTCCGAACTGGCAAGGTCACCTGCAGCGTGGCCGGCTGGGGTTGCTCTCTCGTCCCTCCTGCCTCCCCCCACCCCTCTGTTCCAAGCCCTCTCCTCCCCGGCTCCTGAGCTTGTTTTTTTACGCACAACTCAACACAAGACCAAGCCTGGCAGCACCCTACCCTCCCTCAGAGTAGCCCCCGTGACTCGGTCTCCTAGACCCCCCCATTTCTGCTCCGACAGCCCTGGCCACACGTGTGGAACCCTGTCCGGCCCCCAGGCACCTCCCCAGGCCCCATGTGGCCTCTGCTCAGGGAGCGGAGCCTCAGCCCAAGGCAGCGATCAGTGAGGATGCCCCCGAGTCACCCGCCTGAGGTGGGGGAGCGCCAGGGCTCATTGATTCACAGCCTCCTGAGGGTGGGAGCAGCCCCACTTCTTGGATGAGGAAACTACAGACAAGTCACTTGTAAACTCAGTGGCGAGAAAGCACATCCCTGCGACGTGGCCACCTTGTTCCGGGCCAGGCGGAGGGGACACATCGCCCAGCCACACCCAGGAGGACTGGCCGGGCTCATTCACTGACTGCGCTCGGGAGGGAGCAGACAGATTCCCCAACAAATGAACTTTGAGGCTGGGAAAGCCGCTGAGTGATTGAGCTGTGAGGAGCAGCCTGGGGCTGCGGTTTGCAAAGCTGACACAGAATTTCAGTCCACCCTGACAATCCCACACAGCAGGCCGCTAGCACTGGGGACCCAGAGCTGGGGTCAGGGCGAACTCAGGGTGCCCCGGCCACACCCACCACCAGAGGGGCGTCAGGAGCTGGCTCCACAAGGGATGGTGTATGAAGTGCACCTTGGAGCATGCAGCACCCAGGGGAGGCGCAAGGGCAGGCCACGCTCTCTTCCCACTGGGTAGCACTTCCCAGGCCCTGGGAGACCCCGGGGTGCTGCTAAAATGCAGGTTCTGATTCAGCAGGTGAGGAGTAGGGGTTGGGGCCTGTGTTCCTAGTAAGCCCTCGGGGATGCTGATGTGACTGATCCTTGAGCACCTGCCAAGGAGCAGGGCTGGAGGGTGCCCCAGTCTTGGGAAGGGCAACTTGCCAGGTGGGGCTGACCTGGGCAGCTCCTCTGTCCCCTCCTGAGCTCTCAGAGGGGGCAGCAGGTTCCTGAGGCCCGCGGGCTCTGATGGGTCTGGATGCCCCATAAGATGCCCGCCTGCCACAGGCCCTTGCCAGGCTGCAGTCACTGGCACCAGAGCAGGTTTGGGTACCAGAGGGACTGAAGAAAGTAATATCCTCACAGCCTGGGGGGTATAAATAATGAAAGTCGGATCCATAAGTAATTACTTTTTAATTAATTAGGAATGATGAATAGCGAGACCCAGCGACTCCGGGCGGAGTGGTGTTAACTGTAATAGCCTCGTTCCTTTCCCTGCTGAAATTGATTTGCCAGGGAGGCGGCCAAGGGGAGGGAACACTGGGGTCCAGGGACAGCAGAGGGCAGGCAAGGAGGAAGGGACAGCCCCTCTCAGGCCAAGCCCCCACCCCACTGAAAGAACTTCTCCCTGGGGAAGGGACCTGGAGGAAAAAGCAGGTGCATTTCTCACTTCCTAACCCTTTACAGACTCACCTGACACCTTCCTGGGGAGAGCCAGCCGCGCCTTCCTCTGCTCGGCGGGAGCGAAGCTGCGGTCCAGGGGAGGCTGGGGGCTCAGACACTGTTGCCGCCGGCTGCTGGGCAGTGGGGGGACCCTTCGAAAGGCAGCTCCCGAGTCCAGGGGACAATCAGCAGGCCTGGAGAAAGATCAAGGGCTGGTGACCCCCCCCACACCAGGTCAGGGCCAGGTCCTCACGGGGGTGGGCAGAGAGGTCCGGGCGGACCACGCCATCCTGCATGTTTTCCTCCCAGCCAGTGTCCCCAGCAAAGTGCACCCCGCCCAGGCTACCACCTACCGTGAACTCACCCAGAAAGTAGGGCGGTTCTGAATCAGCGGTCCCAGCCCCTACTTCTGGAAGGAATGGAATGATTCCGCCAAAGTGGGGAAGGCAACCACCAAGCAGTTGGAAAGGAAGCAGCCTCGAGTGTCGTGGCACGAACCCCCGTGGGGTGTGTGTCCCCCCACTCTTACTCCCCCAGCCTCTGAGCACAGCTGTCGTGGGTGAGGTTCCCCTTCCCGGCAGTTCAGCCAAGCACGGCGCTGGGAAGGAGGCAGTGGGAAGGCCCGGGGCAGAGACTTGCCTACACATGTGAACAGGGGCGGGCCCGAGGCTGAGCCACGCACCTCCAGAAAGCACTTACGGGGGCACCCTGGAAACTGCCTTATTTCCTGGCCCTGACTCCCTGGTAGGTGCGGTCCCCGAGGGCACCGCTGTCAGCCCTGGGACCACCACCAGGCGGGTGGGGTGAGGGCCGGGAGGGTGGAGCCCGTTCCAGCAGCTTTGAGGAAGGAGCGAAGAGCAGGCGGGGCCGGAGGGAAGCTAGAGGGGGCGCTGATTAGGACTCTGCTCCACCGGCTTCTTTACCCGAGGGGGAGGAAAGCTCCCAGGCCCTGCGTGCAGGAGTCCTGAGGCCTTCGCAACTGGGCCTGGGCAGAAATGTCTGTTCAGGGCGAGGGAAGCCTCCAAGTACAAGACCCTGAGAGGACACTCTCCTTACCCTGGACCAGGCCCCAGTGGGTCCTGTCTTTATCTGAAACTCAGGTAATTTTTTCGTCATCGTTTGCATTGAATTTTTTAAGACAGCATTAAAAAAGTCTCTACTTTAGGCCTCTCCGGTGGTGCAGCGGTTGAGCGCTGGGTTGCGAAGCTGCCCGCAGCCTCTGCAGCACCGGTTCGATCCCCGGCTGCTCCCCGGCCACCGGAGGAGGGTCCCACATGGCGCGCAGACCTCTCCTGCCGCCCGCTGCTCCCCTCAGCAGTGTCCTTCGGTCCTTCTGCCTGCTCTGCTCCCCGCTCTGGCTCTGGTGAATTCTCTCACCCTCCCGCGCTTCTGACTGTACCCAGTGCTTGCATAAATAAAAATAAATCTTAAAAAAAAAAAATTTATCTCCCTTTAAAAAAAAAAGGTCTCTACTTTGCTGCGTTTTCACTGCTGTCCCCACCCCCAAGCCCCCCCCCCCCCCCTTTCCTTAATTCTGGTGCCCGGAGCAGTCTGCCTTCGCTCTCCCTGGTCTTGCTTGGAAGCCCTGCAGGGAACACAGAATACGGATTTTGAACTCAGGTGCAAAGCCAGGTCCAGTGTAGCCACAACACCCCACCAAGCCCCAATTTCCTCCTCCATAAGCACAGGTCGCAAGGTCTCTGCAGAGAGGGGGGAGAGGAAATCAAGTCACCCGGCAAGGCGGAGGCTCGAGAAGGCAGCTAGCTACCCAGCCTTCTCCCGCCCACCCCACCCTTACCTGCGGCGGCACAGGGGCCAGGGGCCCAGAGCCCACCAGAGCTGGGAGGGGCCCACCAGCCCTTCCGTAGTGGCAGGCGGGCACAGAGCAGGGTCTAGGAGCCGGGCAGCCGGGTAAGGGAGCGTCCTGGAGCCTCGGTGGCTTTTCAGGCTTTTCACACCATTTGGAGTGCAGCACCCAGGTGCTCGGCAGGCAGGGGACCGGGGGAGGGGGGCCGGGAGGCTGGCAGGCCTCCCAACCCCCCACAACTCTTCACTCTTTCTGGGCTCTCTGGCCTTCTCCGCCAGGCTCTTCTCTGCTGTTGCTTCGACCACTGCTCTCGTTCTGCTGGCGTCCCCGGGACGCCGCCCTTATAAGCCCAGTCTCTCAGCCCAAGTGTGCCCACCTGTGTATGCCCAGCCCCTACTCCACGTGCCCGCCATCAGGCACGCATGTAGGACCGCAGGGATCTATCATTAATGCTAATGGCAGGAAGGAGGAAAATCCTGATAATTTTCACTTGCCCACACCCTCTGAAGGCCCTTCTGGGCCTTTCTTGGGCGAGGAGAGTGATGAACCACGCTGATCAGCACAAGCTGTGTTGAACCAATTTGTTTGTGTTAATTGTGGCCAATTAAACTTTTCTTAAGTGCCCCAGGCTGGGCTGTCTTGGGAAGCCGATCTCTGGCCAGATGGGGAGAGATGCCTCCATCCGTGCCGTGTGTGACGGGGGGGGGGGGGGGGGGCGCAGGAATTTCAAGGCGCTTCAAAATGATGACCAGATGGACAAAGGACTAGGGAGCCCAAGCCAGATGGAAACGGGTGACCAGGCCAGTCTGACAAGCACGGCCCCCAAGAGGGACCTATGTGTGTCGTCCAGGAAGCCCTCGGCCAGCCGGGGCCGGGGCCAGGGCTCCAGGAAGCTGGGCGGCAAGGCGCATCCCACCGGGTCAGAGCCTGCACTGGAGCAAGGCCCCTGGGGGTTTGTATGCACAGGACTGTTTGGGGGGGCCTGGGCTAAGATGCCCTGAGACGGCCCCATCCTGGAGCAGTCTGCCCAGACACCACAAAGAGGGTCCTGATGGCTGGTTAACATGGAGAAACATGGCGAACACACCCACCGCATTAAACCCTCCTCGAGAACCCTTTAAGCAGGTGACCGGGTGATGTGTATAGTGAAGGAGAGGCTGGGACTGTTAGTGACACCCTTAAGGACCTAGACACAGGCGCTGATCCACCAGGAGGCCTGCCCCAGGGTAATATGTCACAGTGCAGTGCTACTGCAAAAAAAATTTTTAATTAACCCTCAGGACATGCCAGCGGCTTCCTGCAGGAGCCGGGCCAGACCAGCAGCAGGACTCGCCTGCTCGGCCTGCTCTCCCTTCCATGGGGGCACCTGGATGCCCTCACCTGGCTCCCAGGCCCTTTGGTAGTTAACTAGCCCATGACTGAGCCGAGTCTCTCTGGAACATTCCTGTAGGTGTGTGGCTAATTCGCCCGCCATCCTCACGGGTGATTCCCCGGCTTCGGGGCACTGGAAGGCCGGAGTAGTTCACATAAGGCAGTGGGAATAAGTCTTTTTCCCGCTGCAGGGTAGGAGGCCTGGAGTGTGTGCAAACCAAGTCCTCTATATCCTGGTGTGAAGTGGTCCCGACCCTCCCTCTGCCTGCACCCCCTCCATGAGTGGGTGGCAGGTGCCAGGAGTGTGCTGAGCAGGCTGCGTGGATCCTGGTGGCTAGCAAGGATCAGCTTTAATAATTATTAGTGATCTGCACATTTTCTGCAGCAGATGAAATAATTGTACAGGAGGGCCAGTGGAAAGAAGAAAACCACTAATGCCTTTTCCTCTCAGCATTACAGCAAACGCTATCGAGCTCACCCCAATTAATTAGCACTCCGTCTCAGCAGCACCTTCCTCCGCTCATCCCCACAAATGCGGTAGGGCATCAGGGGCCCTGCTGCCTGCAGCGCAGCCGCCCCACCCAAAGGAGACCCGGGCCTGGGCAGACCGAAGGGCCCTTCCTGAGCACCCCCCATGTGACCTGGGGGCATAGGGTGCAAGTGGGGGGCGTTGCTGGGGTCTCTCCCCCTCCAGCAGAGGGGGAGGCTGAGTCTGAGCCCGTGGTGATCTCACCGGTGCAAAGAAATGCCAACGGCCAACAAGGGGCCAGGAGAAAGGGGGACATGTTGGCACCCCCAGAAGCCCCAAGCACTCCACATGGGCTGTCAAGACCAGCCTTACCGGCCCGTGACCATGATGGTGGAGTCACTCAGGCGTGCAGGGCCCCCTTCAAATTGATAATACCTTTACCTTTGAATCTGATTTGTAAGTGAAGTCAGGGGGGACAATAGAGCAGGCGCTGGGGCCGCCCTCTTCCTCCCCACCTCCCTGGGGTGACTCTCAGGTCCTCACTCTCCCCACGGCTGGGGGCCCTTTTGGGGGTGGCAAACCAGGCATGTGTACCCCATATACCAAGTTGTGGGCTACCCCCCACCACCCCCATATCTGTGAGTTTCTGCACTCACCTCACACGCACTGCCATGCTGAGGGGGTGTGTGTTACACAGCAAATAAAAACATCTTGACAGGGTGAGAGAGAAACTATGAAAAAAACTATGAAGAAAAGGGTTTTTGTTTTCTGCTTTTTGGGCAGGGAGCCCTCTTTCGTGTTTTGAACGGGGCTCTGCAAATTGTCTAGCTGCCTTGCCTGCTGCTTCTGGGGAGGGCGGAGGTGTCTTAGGGGCCCCCCAGCCTCTGGGCAGCTGTGACTACCACTGTAGAGGCTGGACAGGACACAGTGCAGGTTTTCTGATCCCATGCAGACCGGGTAAAGGAGGAGTCAGAGTCCTCAGTGGTTTTTGCAGGTTTTTTTTATTGGGGTTCACCAGGCATACGGCAGGCAGGGGTGCTAAGGGGCCAGGAGGTTGGCAGGCCTCCCAGCCCCCAGCAAGTCTTCACTCTATCTGGGATCTCCGGCCTTCTCTCTCGGCTTCTGCTCACTCTTGGCTTCTCTTTCGGCTTCTACTGGCGTCCCCGTGACACCACCCTTAAAAAGCACAGTCTTAGCGCAGGTGTACCCACTTCAGGTGCCCACCATCAGGCATGCATTCACGATCACAGGGTTCCCTCATCTATCCTGACAGTGGGAGGGCAGAAAAGCCTGCTACCTTTTACCTTACCCTAAAACCACCTAGACCCTTAATGACACATGGAGACCCTGCCATGTGCCAGGCTCTGGGTGGCCCCATGGGGGGAGCCGGTGGCCGTCCCAGTGTCCACAAAAGCTGCACTCCTCGCTTCTATCGCCTTTGCTGGCAACTGAGCACCCACCTCTGAAAATCCAAAATTTTTATAAATTTAAAAACATAGAGGAAAGGAGATCTTGGGGCTGATTTGCG